TTTCGATGTAAATTCACCGGCATTATCCATTCTAATAGTTTTAATTTGACAATCAGGAAATTGAGCTCTTAATTCAATAATTTTAGCAAGGAGCTTTGGAAAAGCCTGATTTCTAGTGGACAATAAAAACACATATGTCCATCGAGTGGAAGCATCTATCAATACCATAAAATATCGAAAAGGTCCCGAAGTGGGATGAATAGGGCCACATATATCACCTTGAATCCTATGAAGGAACGTTGGAGATTTAATTCCAACTTTAGTACGTGAAGGTCTCAATATTAATTTTCCCTTTGCACAAGCATCACAAATAAATTCATTAAAAGAAGGGAGATTGCTGCTTGATACGCTATGCCCAATAGAGTTAGAAATAATCCGACGCATCATACTAAGCCCAGGATGACCCAATCGCTCATGCCATAATTTAAATGAATTTGGGTCTTTGAATTTTAAGCTCAATGCAACATGATTAACCACAGGTCGAATGTACGTATGGTACAAGCCTGAGGAGAAAGAGGGAAGTTCTTCTACAATTTTATTTTGACTTCCTTGTGAATGAGTCATTAGAAGATACTCTATATTGTTTTCAGTCTTAGTTTCAATATGAAAACCATTAGATCGAATATCCTTAAAACTAAGAAGTGTTCTTTGTGATTCAGGGTACAAAAACGCATTGTTAATTATTAATTCGGTACCCTTAGGAAGAGTAAGTAAAGCTATGCCGGAGCCTACTATCAAGATTTTATCATGAGCAATTGTAGAAACACTCCCTTTTTTTTCATTTAAAGTTAGAAAAATTTCCTATCTTTCAAAATAGTGTGCGTAGTAGCACTGTCGGCCAGACATAAAATGCTCTCTTTCTCCATAAGATGCAAACTAATGAATGGTTGTGGTACACTAAAAGAAAAGTAAAACATTGTAAGCAAACGAAACAATCATGAAGTCCCAATCAAAACATAACGTCTGAAAACATACCAATAGCAAAAACAAACCACAAATGTCTGGCGAAGCAAAAGAAATCAGAACTGTCTAATAGCAAGAAACAAACCACGAAATAAAAATATCCAGTTCTAAGATAGAATGCATATTAATCACACATCATCACTATAGTCCTCGAGCTCAAGTTTCAATAAATCATCATCATCAGCATTGAAAGCTAAATTTGCTTCAGGCAAACTAGCATGATGTGATTCACCTTGAGGAGCCTTTCCTTTCTTATCCTTGAGCATTCTTTGATAGGCCCCAACTAGATGCCGAGGAGTACGACATGTGCGGGACCAATGATTATCGTATCCAC